GTTACCTTTCTGCCCCTTCCAACTCCCAGCTTCTACTTTCCCCATAGCCTGACTCTCAGTACAAGCCTTCCAGTGTGGGACTGCAGGAGGTGGTGTGCAGGCCATGCCTTCAGAGTCCTTGGCTTAAGACAGCTCTGCCAGCTCCTGTGACCTCTAGTCCACACTCTGGGACCTGATCTTTGTTGTGTCCTTGCCAGGTGACAGGCGCTTTCTGGAGATCTCCTCACTATCCCAGCCAGGAAGGTGTGACCATCCCAGTCTGTGTGTGCCCAGCTAGAACACTCTTGGGCCTTCCCAGCTCTAGCACCCTTCAGTTTAAAAAGATTATTTTCTTAAGACCACCTCCCAGCCGGGCGGTGGTGGCGCACACCTTTAATCCCAGCACTCGGGAGGCAGAGGCAGGCGGATCTCTGTGAGTTCGAGGCCAGCCTGGTCTACAAGAGCTAGTTCCAGGACAGGAACCAAAAAGCTACGGAGAAACCCTGTCTCGAAAATTCAAAACAAACAAACAAACAAACAAAAAGACCACCTCCCAGGCCAGCGAGATGGCCCACACTAAAGACTTGTCATCAAGCCTGAGTTAGAGCCCTAAACCCACATAGTGGAGGAGAAAACCCCCTTCCGTGTAAAAAAAACATGCATAGATACTCTAAATGCGTATTTATAAAAATATGTAAACATATAAAGATGTATGTATAGAAGTGTATAAAATAATAAAGACCACCTCTCCGGTGTCTAGAAATTGAAGCTATCTACCTTTCCATGCCTTCCAGTGCTGGCACAAGATGCCATCAAGGCCGCCCTAGCTGATTACAAAATGAAACAAGAATCTAAGAAGGAAGAGCCAGAGAAGCAGTGAGCCCTGGAGAAGCCCCAGCTGGTCACAGCAGCTGCTTCCCATCAGCTACTTCCCACTACCCTTACACCATGCCAGAGAAGCTACAAGAAACAGGCACTCTGCACCATCTGCATTGCGGTTCTAATGCAGGCAAATACACTGTTGATTACGCCTAATCCTGCGCTCCTTTCAGCTCACTTGCGTCCTTAGTGCAGTTAACGTCTGTTCTGATTTATGTTGTGGCCGGGGAACTGAAATCAGCACTGAAGTCGTAAGCTTTGGCAGCCTCCGGAGAGTGACAGCAAATTTTCCCTAACCCTGTGTGGGGAGATGCCAGCAGAATGCCTTGTTCTGTTATTTGATAGAGTTTATTACTGTATGTTTAACAGATCTGCATATATATATTATAATAAAAGAATATAAGATGATGGTTTTCTCCAGTGAGCCTGTCTCTTGTCACTCGCCCCCCAGTTCTGTCTGAAGCCCCTTGGGGTTCTCCAAGGCCAGGCTGAGATGGAGGACAGCACACCGGACAGCAGTGGCCACTTGGTGCTTTTGAAGGGGCATAGAGGATGTCTGCGCTTTTCACTGCACTTTGGGATGTGTGGTCGACTCACAACAGCTTCGAGGGTCCCTGCAGTAATTCCCCTGGTCTGTGAAAGTCAGAAATTAACCCAAGAAGCTGGCTGAGGTGTTGCCTAACCCTGTGGGCCAAGCAGAACAGCCTCAGGGTGAGCTTCAACTATTGCCCAGGCTCTGGCTTCATTCTGGCAGACGGTTCTGCTAGCGGCCTCACAGGCTTTGTGTCGTAACCAGTGAGCCACTCTGGTAGAGTGAAGAAACTCGTGAGTTCTGCCAGTGAGCCTGCCCATCTCCTGTTTCCCAGAAGGGTACATGTACTGCACTGGCACTCAGTTTGCTCAAGACAGGCGTGGCACCTGCCTGTAAACCCAGCACTTAACATGGGTTAAGGGAGATTAAAAGTTTGAGGGCAGCCTGGGCTACATAGACCACGTCTACAAAAACAGTCTGCTCAGGCAGGGATAGCAGCCGCTCCTGCCCTGAGCTCAGTACAGCTCATTGAGAGGCCCTGATTCTAGTGAAGACGCTGGAACACTACCACAGTGAACTTCAAAAGCAAACTTTTTCTGATGGTGGCTTCTGTGCAGGCGTATGCGGGCTGACTCTTAAATCATCTTTATTTTAAAATACTCTGGGTTCTGGGGAAGGGCCCAGAACTTCAAAGGCCACTCGCTCCCTCCACAGTCTGGAGGAGACCACAGGCCAGAGTCCATCAGAATCTCAAATTAGACCCTGGGTGGGGCCGTGTCAAATTGTCCTGCGGGGTGTGTCCTGCTGTGCCATTCAGTCCCCTGCTTGTGGCAGTGGCACAGTGCCCCACCTCTGTTTGTGACTTTAAAATGAGGCACTTCTGTCCCAGCTGACATCTGAATTCACACATCAAAAGTTGCCGCCAGCACAGCATAACCCTGAGAATATGAGCGGGTGCAACCCCAACATGTCCAATTTCTAGAACTTGCTCTAAGTCCACCCCTCTAGACCACCCCTCTACAGGCAGATCAACTTTGGGCGCCATGTACCCCTCACTGAGCCTAAGTGAGGGGTTTGTCACAGTCTCCATGTGGATCTCTGAACCCTGGAGTAACTCTCCCATGCAATGTCTGCTCTTTGGAGGGTTTGGGTTTGGGGGTTTTTTTGTTTTTGTTTTTTGTTTGTTTGCCTCAAAATCCTCCTGCCTCAGCCTCTCAAGTGTGTGATTATTTAGAGGCATGAACCACATGGGTGGATCACATAATTGGTTTTGAAAGTCAAGGTGAGACCTCTTCGTTTTTCCCCTCTTCCTGGCAAGCTGCAGGGAGCTGCACTATGAAACACTCATCCTTAGCTGGCCCTGGTTGAGTTCTTGCCCTATCTGTCCTGGCAGGTAGCTGTGGCTCTGGGGACATCAGAGGCTTCACCTGGAACACCCACACGAAGCACTAGCCTTCACTTACTGTAACTATGTCATCCAAGGGATTACCAGTGTATGGCTGATGGCACTTCAGCCCCTTTGTACACCAGGCACTGGAGTTAGGAGCTCAGGATAGAAAAATCTGAAGTGCTAGGAACTGAAAAGACAAAGAAAGGAAACAGTGAAGTTAGGGGTCTGAGGTCAAGATCCCTCTAGTCAAGAGTCAGCAGAGAAAGTGTAATGGTTTAAGTAAAATGCTGCAGGTCCCTGAGGGACGGCAGTGGACAGTTGGCCATGAACCCACACTGCAGGTCCCTGAGTGGCAGCAGGTAGTGGGCAGCAGGTCCCGAGATCACAGCAGGCCACAAAGGCGGGGGAGGGGGGGCAGGCAAAAAGCCACATGGCAGGTGAGAGACTGAGACAGATAGACATGCCATGCAGAGTGATATTTATTTTTGGATATTTATTTAGTGGGTTATGGAAGGCAAGGGGAAAAGGAAGAAGAGCAGAGAGAGAGGCAGAGACAGAGGGGGGAAGAGAGAGAGATGGAAAGGAAGGGACTCAGACTAGAAGCTGAAGATCAGCTTGCCTCTGCGGACAGGTGGGTGTGGGTGTGTTTCAGTGTGTTTGTGGTTTGTCTCTTAAAGGGACAGCAGGGAAGACCCTTACAGAAAGACCTTATCTGTTATTGTAGTTTCCATGAACACTGGCATCATCATTCTTGCTGCTATTCACAGGAATGTTATTACCATTAGAACCATTACTCTTTTATAATAAGATAATATCAAAGTTTCCAGCTTCAGTGTTGTTACCTGGAACTACACAGTGCTCCAGGGAACTACACGTACTCTACAGTGCTCCAGAGTACCACACAGTACTCTACAGTGCTCCAGGGCACTACACGGTACTCTAAAGTGCTCCAGGGCACTCCACGGCACTCCACAGTGCTCCAGGGCACTCCACAGCACTCCACAGTGCTCCAGGGCACTACACGGTACTGCACGGTGCTCCTTACTACACAGTACTTCACAGATCCTCCTGGTGATATCCATGCAGCAGTAAACCAGTAACTCCTGTCATATGATTTGACAGCCAAATTTGCTTCACCACAGTTTTCCTGCCATGGGGCTGAACACCACCCCTCACCACCTCCCAGATGTCTTTGGAAGGTCATCTTCGACACCTCTACCCCCGGCCTCACTTCACAGACATCCTAACTCCCAAGAGTCCCTGAGGGGAGGAGAACCCTCAATATTCTGGAGCTGATGGTGCAGAGCGATTTTTGGACCCTCCCGTGCTGCCCCAGGGCCTCAGGCCAATGGGTCACAGGAAGCTCAAGTGGGGAAAGGGGCTGGACCACACTCTGCCAGCGCATCATGCTCTCCAGTCCGCCACCTGCAGCCTGAAAGCAGAACCATGGAGCTTTAGGGACAACTTTGGAAGGAAATCAGAGGCCTGGGTTCTGATCCTAACTATGCCATGATCTGTCTACAACAAAAATGTAGCCATAGACTTAACCTTGCTGAGCCTCTTGTCCCTCACTGGGAGACTGGGGCAGTACTGGCTCCCAAGCTACAAGACTGTTGTGAGAGTTAATTCCCACTTGAGCAGAAAATTCCACAACACCTGGCATCTAGCAAGCCCCAGTGCCAGGCACCACCGCCGCTGGCACAGCCATCAGCACCCCAACACCCAGCATCCTCATGCTGGACAGTGGATTGTGTTCCCTCAAAACCTCCGAAGCAACTGTCCCTGGAGAGAGCATGGCGTGGCGATCAAGGTTAGATAGCTGTGCAAATGTGAGGCTAGGCCAAGAGGAATGATGGCCTTTAAAAAGGGGTCTCTCCCGTGCTCAAAGGATAGGCCGGGTGAGGACAGCGTGGCTGTCTACGTTCCAGGAAAGAGCCACATCAGAAACTGAACCCACGGGAACCTTGCTTGTGGGCTTTCCTACCTCTAGGGCTATGAGAAAATAAGATTCAGTTGTGAAAGACACATCGTTTGTGGTACTTTATAATGGCAAACCAAATGCTACCACTACCATCATCATCATCATCACCACCAGCACCATCAACTGTCTTAGCTGGGGTTTCTATTGCTGTGATAAACACACCACAACCAAAAGCAACTTGAGAAGGAAAGAGTTTATTTCAGCTTCCACTTCCAGGTCACATCCATCACTGAGGGGAGTCAAGGCAGGAACTGAAGGCAGGAACCTGAGGCAGGAACTGAAGCAGAGACCATGGATGAGTGCTGTGTACTGGCTTGCGCACTATGACTTGCTCAGCCCGATTTCTCTCTCTTTCTCCTGGAAAGTCATGCATAGCTCATAGTCTGGAGACCACCAGTCTGAAACTAACAACACAGAGACTAATCAGTCATTATAAAATCTTGGCCTTAGTTCCTAATGAGTTTTTTGTTTGTTTATTTATTTGTTTGTTTTTGTTGGTTTTATTTTTGTTTTTTTCAAGATAGGGTTTCTCAGTAGCTTTGGAGCAAGTCCTGGAATTCACTCTGTAGACCAGGCTGGCCTTGAACTCACAGAGATCCGCCTAACTCTGCCTCCCCAGTGCTGAGATTAAAGGTGTATGCTACCAATCTGCTTTCAGCCAGGACCACCAGCCCAGAGCTGGCACCACCCACCATGGGCTGGACCTTCCCATATTAATCACCAATTAAGAAAATGCCCCACAGGCTTGCCTACAGACCAGGTTTTTGTTGTTGTTTTGGTTTGGTTTGGTTTTGGATTTTTGAGAAAGGGTAGCATCTGTAGCTCTGGCTATCCTGAAACTTGCTATGTAGATCAGGCTGGCCTCAAATTCACAGGGATCCCTCTGCCTCTCTGCCTCTGCCTCCTGAGTGCTGGGATTAAGGTGTGGGCCATCATACCCCACAGGCCAATCTTCTGGAGACATTTTCTCTACTGTGGTTCCCTCTTCTCGGATAACTCCAGCTTGTGTAAAATTGGCAAAACAAACAAAAGCTAACTGTGACAATCACCATCACCATCATTGCCACTATCACCACCATCATCACCTTCACCATCACCACCTTACCATCACCACCTTCACCATCACCACCATCACCATCACCACCTTAGCCTTCTACAGCTATCAACACAATTTCACCTTAATCATCACCATTACCACCACTATCATCAATGCCTCCATTATTACAGTGAGCTGATTTTCCAATGGATTCCATGAGCAGGGTGTTCACTTGAGAGTATTCCCGGGCTCTGCCCATTCCTGTAGAAGTGGGGCAAGAATTCAGAATTGGGAGGAGAGGAGAGAAAAGCAGGTGTTGCCAAACCAAGGCCTCAGTCCCCATGATGGGGCACTTTAGGACTGATCTTCCTCCATGTTGTCCTGCATCAGGACCTATGCTCCTTCACACTCTTGGGCTCAGGACTCCTTTTCCCAGAGAGAGTTCTAGTTTGTACTCAGAGGCGATAAGACGCTGATGACTAAGCCGCTGGAATCCCAGGCATCCTCGAAGCTGCTGTCTATGGGCAAAGGGCTTGGTAGAGCAGCTCACCCTGCCCCACTGGTCCTTCAGCGCCAGGATTCTGCTCTCTTTCCCACAACAGAAGGGTCCCCAGAGAGTGTTCCCCATCAGGGGACTACTAATCCACTTCAACCTCCAAAGGCTCCAGACAGCACAGCACAGCTTCCTCTCAGGTTTGACTTGGACAGCTCTGGGCTCTGGGTCTCCTTCCAAGCATCCCCAGTCTCCAGGGGAGCCAAGTGGAGGACAGAGCGCTGGTGTGGTTATCTGTGTGTGTGTGTGTGTGTATGAGAGAGAGAGAGAGAGAGAGAGAGAGAGAGAGAGAGAGAGAGAGAGAGAGAGAGAGAGAGAGAGACACCTAGGTTAACTAAGCTAAGGGTCCCCTGGGACAGAGCTGAGCCTGTACTGTGTGTGACCCACCGAAGCTTCATTCACTCAGCGCCTTTGGATGTCGCTAGAATAGTTTGCAATACTGCGAGGTCACATCAAAAGTGCCCCTCACAAAGCATTGCGAGGTCACGTGGAAAATGCCCAGCACAAAGTATTGCGAGTCACGTGGAAAGTGCCCCACACAAAGTATTGTGAGGTGACTTGGAAAGTGCCCCACACAAAGTATGCCACAGGCGCTTATTAAATGCTCATTCCTCCAAAGGTGGTTCCTTACCACACTGCAAGGAAGGACTCAGGAGCAATGTGCTTCATCCTTTCATGAAACAACTCCCCCTCCCTCTCTCTCACAGCTTGCTTGTGAGAGAGCAAGTTCACCCAGTTCATTCGTACCTCAGGATCTTTGTACCTGCCGTCCCCAGCTCAGGAGCCATCTTTCCAAGAGCTCCCCAAGGTTGCTGCCCCTTCAAATGGGTCTCACCCAGGTGCCACCTTCCAGACAGGCTCCTGTAGCCACTGTTAAGGTGACACAGGCCTGGTCACTCTCGAGAGATCACCTCTGAGGCATCACCTTTGGCTCACCTTCCTCCAGCAAGGGCCCTGGAAAACCAGGAGGCAGAGCTTGTCGGGTCCTCCCCGGCAACTTTCTCTGCTTACTTGCAGTGGATGAGGTAACTGGATCCCATGAACCATATTTCCTTCCAGCTCAAGCAAAGAGACTCCACAGACTTGGAAAAGTCCTCATTTTAGCCAATAACCAGTACAGGCCAGATCATGATTCAACCACCACTGCCTAGACAGCCCCTCCTCCCCTCACCCCAACCTTCGAAGCCCTCCCCAAACCCTCCAGCAGCAGGGGTGGGTAAGCAGAAGGCAGGGCATCAAGACCCCCTCCTGCCTGTCTGCCACTGGCATTTTTACCCAGCCTCAGGATGTCTCTGTCTGGAACAACTCAGGGGAAGTCGGGTCCCCCTGGGATCCCACCAGCCGGAAACAGCCGCAGAAGTGTGCTGGAGAAAGCGCTGAGCCAGCAGGAGTGCAGGGATGCTGTCCCAGGGATGGCTCTGCCTGCCTGCAGGCACAGCTCCTAACCCTGCAGGGTCAGCACTTCGGGGAGACACCAGGCTAGACAGCAGGAGGAGGGTAGGTGCTCACAGAGCCAGCTCATTCAGTTTGCCAGGGACAGGTCCACCCAGCCTCCTATGGTGAAGGAAAACTTCGTGTTCCAATCAGGCTGGAAAGTATTTGCTAGACTTCAGTGGCTGTCCTGGCTCCTTTCACGTCAACTTGACACAAGCTGGAGTCACACGAAAGGAGGGAGCCTCAACTGGGAAGACGTCTCCCTCATAAGATCTAGCTGTAGGGCATTTTCCTAGTTAGTGATTGACAGGGAGGGCCCAGCCTATGGTGGGCGGTGCCATCCCTGAGCTGCTGGTCCTGGATTCTATAAATAAAGCAGCACCCTCCATGGCCTCTGCACCAGCTCCAGCCTCCAGGCTCCTGCCCTGCCTGAGTTCCTGCCCTCAATGCTTCTGATGATGAACTGTCATAGGGAACTGTGAGAGAAATAAACCCTTTCCTCCCCAAGTAGCTTTGGTCGCGGTGTCTCATCACAGGAATAGTGGCCCTAACTAGACAGTGATCATCGGTGACACAAAGACTTAGTAATCAGGGGCTGGAGAGATGGCTGAGGGGTTAAGAGCACTGACTGCTCTTCCAAAGGACCCAGATTCAGTTCCCAGCACCCAAAGGCAGTTCATAGTTGTCTGCAACTCCAGTTCCAGAGGACCTGACACCCATAGCAAAACAGTAATGCATATAAAATAAAATTAAAAAAAAAATCTTAGCAATGTAAAACTAGAAAGGGGTTTCCTTACCATTGAAAAAGCCATTTGCTAGGAGAGACAGCATACGTCTTACCGTTACCAAAATATTAACAGGTTCTCAGGAACAGCAGACTCAAAGACTACACTCAGCATCGCCTCTGTGAAGGCCACCATGGCCTTCGCCTCTGCCTGTCACCAACTGCACAAACAATGGGATCGCCAGTGTCACCTCTACCATCATCCATTCTACCACACCATCACCTGTACCCCTACTATCTCTTCCTCCACCACCACTGCCATCATCCCCCTCTGCTGTCATCCCCTTCGCCATCACCTCCCCATCATCACCTCCCCCATCATCCTCCCCATCATCACTTCCCCCATCATCACCTCTCCATCATCAACTCCCCCATCATCACCTCCCCATCATTACCTCCCCATCATCACCTCCACCATCATCACCTCCCCATCATTACCTCCCCATCATCACCTCCACCATCATCACCTCCCCATCATTACGTCTCCCATCCACCATCACCACCTTCCCAACGATCACTTCCCTCATCATCACCTCCACCATCCTCACCTCCCCATTATCACCTCCCCATTATCACCTCCCCCATCATCCTCCCCATCATCACTTTCCCCATCCTCACCTCCC